TTTTTTTTTTTGTATTTTTAGTAGAGACAGGGTTTCACCCTGTCGACCAGGATGGTCTCGATCTCTTGACCTCGTGATCTACCCGTCTTGCCCTCCCAAAGTGCTGGGATTACAGGCCTTACACAGTGAGCCACTGCACCTGGCCAAAGAGGATCAAAATAATTCTAACAGAATGTATTATACCTAAAACCAATAAGCTAAATTTAAAAACAATTGTATTTATAACACTTTTTCTATAGTTTTTTTTTTTTTACTAAAGGTTTACATCTTATTTACATTGTTTTAATCTAGCTCTCCTGCATTAAAAAAATTTTGCTGTGTATTTTATTAATATATCAACTTGAAGAGTATTTCTATTAGCAACAGCCCTGTATTAAAAAATTTACTTACCCCAAATAACTTTGCCTCCTTGCGTCACAAGGCCCAATTCGCTCACATTTACCTCAATGACAGTACCTTTGGTAATAACACCCAAAGTTGTATACAGTGGGGATGAGGGATTCTTCTTTACACCAAGTATTGGTAGGCAAAAGGTGGCTTTCAGTTCAGGATGTGTCACATGGGCTTTCTTGAAACGTAAGCCCTAGTAAGTCAAACACAACATAAGAATGCTTACATCCAAAATGTTAACAGTGAAGAGTAGTGGTCCTTTTCACTTATCTTTTTCAACCTTCTCCAAAAAACCATGGTTGAATAATGTCATCTTAAAGCATCTAACAAAATACATACTACAGACTAAAAACCTGATGGGTACAGTATTAATATGTGGGGAAAACACCCACACATGTACTTAAGATTTTTTTTTTTTTTTGGACACAGGGTCTTGCTCAGTTGCTCAGGCCAGAGTGCAATGGCACAATGTCGAATCACTGCAGCCTGGACTTCTTGGGCTCAAGACATCCACCCACCTTGGGCTGCCGAGTATCTGGGACTATAGGCACACATTGCTATGCCTAGCTAATTTTTGAATTTTTGATAGAGATGGGCTTTCACCATGTTGCCTGCTGGCCTCGAACTCCTGGGCTCAACCAATCCCCACCTCAGCCTCCTGGGATTACAGGCTACCACAGCTAGCCTCTGAAGTTTTTTTTTTTTTTTTTTTGAAACTGTAACAGCTACCTAGCAACATACTCAGATTTCTACTGTCTAGTCATCTACACTTAGACTTACTAAGGACTTGATACATGCCAGGCCACTATGTTAGCTCACAACTGGCTCCCTTAAACACAATAACCTCA